ACTAAGTTCTATTTTTCAATTTACTTTAAAAAAAATTGAAATTATTACTATAATTTAATGGGATAAGTACATTAATTCTCATATTTATTTTAAAGAATTTGAAATTTTATAATTAAAGAACAGCAATATCTTATATAATTAATTGATTGAAAAAAGAAAAAGAAAAAAAAAAGTGTGAAATTCTAAATATTTTCTTAAATAATAGAAAATTTTGTTATATTTAGACTCAAGCCTACTCTTGAACCAAGCAATTTCCAAATTAGAGTTAAAAATGAAATATTATTTAAAAAGAAAAAAACCCTTCCAATTACTATTTTAACCCAATAATAAAAAACTTCACTTTTTATTATAAAAAATATATATTCTCGATTGTTCTCCACGCAGACAGCCCACTTGTCATTAACCCCCAAAAGATAAGACAGCGCCCAAACTCCAGTGACTTGGCATTGCATATTAATAAATTCATTTATTATTTAAATAAAAATATCTTAAAACATCTAATTTAGTATATACTTTTAAATTACCATTCAAATAATAAAGTGGGGTTCGAATCTAGCATGTGACATTATATCCGACTATATAATTCCAATATTTATGATGGACAATATAAAAAAAAAAACATTAAATTCAAAAGGACAATAATGTAATTTTTTTAAATGCGTTACATTTTTTTTTTACCACTAGTTCGAATAGATAATTTAACCCCGGTCTTAAATAAATAAATACACATCTTCTGACCTCGTTTTTTTTTCTAATTCTTAAAAAAAAAAAAAATGCTTCTCAAAATTTTTAAAATATTTTAGTCCAAAAAGTTTTAATATTTTATGTCAGAGGTAAAAATTTGATTATAGATTATAAATATTTAAATTTTAACTTAAAATTTTAGAGAAAATAATATAATGTCTATATTTTCATATTAATTAAATTATATAGTTAATTTTCTTAATTTAAATTAAGTTATATTGATTTGAACAATTAAATGCCTAATATAACCTTTCATGTTTTATATTAATTTAAAACACCATATATATTTATTAAATATATAAAAAATATATTTTTTTGTTTAAATAAAAAATAAAAAATAATTAAATTTATGCTGAACCAATGCAACTAAATCGTCAATCGTCGTCTCTAGAACGACAGTCGTTTCAGATTTATGAGATAGAGAGAGAAACGAGAACCAGAAGAGAGAGAAAGAGAGATCGTACTCGATTGAAGACCATAAATCCGAGGTCCAAATCAAGGCCATCGAAGTGCACCGTTTTGGAATGGCCGCCAAGATAATCTTCCTTCTCGAACAGCACAGCCTCTACTCCAGCTTTGGCCAGAACAAACGCCGAAACCAGGCCGCTGATTCCGGCTCCGACCACCGCGACCTTCATTTTCCTCTCTGCATTCAAAATCGAAACGATTCAGTGCTCTGATTTCGTCTCGAAACCAGAAAATGATCGGAAAATGGAGAGAAACAGAAGCGCATTGACATTGCTAGTACCGAGATTTGCGATTGCGAAGAAATTAGGGCGCGGAAGGTACAGAACGGAATCGCTTTATGCAGAGAAAATGGAGAAGGAAAGGAAGAAGGCGATACTAAAGGAAGCCGCTCACGTCTTTCGTCGAGCTTTGGCTCTGACTTCACGAGCAAGAAGAAGGGATAAGGACCATTTGACCCTCGTTCGAGGCATATGGGAGGGAAATTCACTCCCCTCTAAATTACTAAACAGCCCTTCCAACATGGATACACCCACTTGTCGGCACGGTGACAGTCTCATCTTGGAAATTATTAAAAAAACTTTTAAATTTTTAATTTTATTAAAAAAAAAACTTTTAAATTTTTTAATAATATCTCTAATTTATCAAAAAAAAATCTCAAAATTACCCTCAAAGTCTCGGTTAAAATTATGATAAATAATTTTTGTATTTAAAATGACGTTTTAAAATAATCTTCTTGATCGAGCTCTAACTTAGCTCATTTTAACTGTGACTTTAACTCGGGTTTGTATTCGAGTAGAGAATGTAGGAAAAAAAATTGAGGAGAAAAATAAGAAAATGGTAAATGTCGTAATACACGAAAAGTCTAGTCCAATTGGTCCACACGCAAGGAAGAAATTAATTACTTGTTGGAAGCCTCGTGTTTTATTCTCCATTTTGATATCTACTGGATTCATAAGTTTATTTTCGGATTACCATCCTAATTTTACACGTAGTTAAATTATTTAAAAAACTTAATAATAAAAATTGAAATAATTAATTAAGGTAAAATTTAGACTGAAAAATAAATAATTTTAAATTAATACCAAATAAAAATAATATAGAAGCTTAAATACCCAATAATATCTAAACCTACTTTCAAAACTTTTAATTATAAATTTTATTTTCCGTTTATATATATATTCTTGTGTGATAATTTATATATTTACGTGTATTTATTTCATCCGTCTATTATTTTAAATTTTTTTATTGGAAGGTTAAGCTTGGCCATACATTCATGGGACAATATGATAAAAGTAGTAAAAAGACATTTATTTATTTATTTATTTATTTTATAATAGACATTTAAAATTTTAAAATAACGAGAGATATAAATTATTAGCAAATATTATTATCCTTGCAATTATTTATACCGTCATCTTCTTTATTGCTGTAATTATTTTTTATTATTCATTTTATTCATAAATTAAAAAAAATCAATTAGATTCTCGAAAGAATAAAAAATTAAAAAAAACCAATAATTATTTGCATAAGATGATGAAATAATTTTAAGATTTCATATGCTATTTTTATGAGATTTTTATATAGTATTGTTGGGCGTGACAGCCCATATTTTCATACAATATTGATAAAAATATAAATAAAATTAAAACAAGATCAAATAATATATATACCTATAATTAATATATAACTATAGTTAAATGCGCGAGGTAGGCCCTTCTTTAATTTACTTATTTTTCACATTATGTCATTGTCCATTAATTACATAATTATAAGTATCGATTAATTAATTAACCATTAATTATTATAATAGATGCATATAATTTTAAATGTTTATGACAGCTATCATCCTTTAGAGTCGATGTAATTAGGAGTAAATTGTTAATAGTAAAAAAATAATAATCATGGATGACTTTCTTTTGACATTATTAAACTATGGTTAAAACTGGCTTATTTTAGATAATAAATAATATTTAATACTAATTAGTAAATTAATAAAAATACTTTAAATATCTTATCTTTAAAATACTCATGAATTTTATAAAATAATATTAGAACGTTGGTAAATAATTCATGAGGTATTGATAGACGGTTAATGACAATACAAAGTAATGGTACTCTAAATTTTTATGGATACGGTAAAAGTAATTTTAATTTTTTTTTAAAGTTGAGTATTTTTTAAATATTATTTAACGAAAAAGGCCAAAAACGAAGTGGACCAGAACTGTGAGCTAGGAAGTCCTTCGAATTGGGTTCTTTTTTGCAGTGGCGCATGACCCATGAGATGTTATGACGTATCATGTATGATGGACATGTACGACATACCACAACTATGTAAATATGTCATAGAGATAATTCATGCAATAACAAGTATTAAGTATTACGTGCATTGTTACACTAAACAGTGATTTTAAATACGATACTTCGGACATTTTGTATGTCACACGAGCATAGATTACTTCTTCAACTATTACGTGCGTTCCATTTTGTATGAGTGTGTGTTGACCTATAGTTAGGCACAGAGATACATATATGAGTTTGCCTAATAAATTACCATGGGTAGAAAATTATTTTGCATCCAACCATATCCAAATATGTACACGAGTCTACCTAGTAGGAGCTCCCTTAATTATCGAGGAGTTAGGAAGAGATTATGTCGAGATGAGTTAGTTGATCACGTTTTACTATAGATAAACAAATATTTAGAGACAAAATATTTTTTTTTTTTTAAGATATAAATTCAATATAAACAAATAATTGTCCAGGTAATCAAATATCTAGAGACGAGGAAGAACCATTTTTGTCTATGAATCTAAATTACTCGACAATGAAATTAACCCCCTACCAATAGTTATATACTGCGAGCAGTTGTTGTTACTTTATTCCTTGCATATATAACACCTCTTTCAAAATCTCTCATTCGAAAATCTTTATCTGCCCTCGTTTTCTAAAACCTTATTCTTAAATCGAGGTCAAAGGCTCGAACATACGTTGCTTTACTGTAGGCGACGTAAGAACTAATTGTCTTAGCTCACTTATTGCTGAAAAGTGAGTACGACACAATCAGAAGTCCGCTACCATAAAAAATGTAATGGAGTAAATTTTAAATAAATAATGATCTTTTTAAGTAATAGTATTTCTTATAATAATTAAATGGTTAATATTTGGTTGACTAATCGAATGGGTCAGCCCAAGCTCGACCAAACTTTGGATGTAAGAGTTGACCCACGAGCTCCACTATTTTAAACCAGGTTGGCCCAACCAAAGCCCAAATAATGCTTTAAGCAGAGATTTAATTTTATCTTGTGAAACTATCTGACGTTTAGAATGATAATTAATGTTTTGTCTACTTAGTTAAATTATTAAATTTTTAAAAATAAATATATAATTTATAATCGGAACATATTTTTATTTTTTAAAAAATTGATTTAATCTTGAAAATTAAGTTGTTGGGATAAAGGATTGAATAATGATTGAAATTGAAAAATATTAAAAGAAATAATAATTTTTATTTATGTTGGAAGGAAAAAGAAATGGGTATTTAAACGATCCACGCGGCGGCAGAGCTGAGGAGGGAGAAATCGTTCCACGACTGCGAGTGACTGGAGAGAAAAATTGCAGAGAAAAAAGCCCTCAAATTTTCTCCACACGCCATTCCAAACCCTCAATTTAGGTTTTTTCTCCTCCTCCATTGCCATTCCAGCTTCTCTCTCTTTCTCTGCAGGTTGCCTGAGCAGACTGCAACGCCGCGCTTCGCGTTCCTACTGTTCTGTCTAAGGTTATCTGATCGTTTTTTTCTTGATTCTTCTGTTGCTGCTGTTCTTTTAATCCTTCTGAGCTGCCATTGAGTCGTTCTGTTGATGTTGTTTTGTTTCCAGCGCGAGAAATTATGGAGAATGGTGTTACATGTAACACTAGTCATTGTTTTTCTTTCCTGTTAGTGGTTTGTACATTTTTTTTCATGTGTCTGGGCTAATCAGAGGTTTGGGATTTACAGCATGCTAATTAAGTAGGAAAAGATGGGCTAATTCTCTTGTAAGTGTCTCAAGCTTTGGGTTGTGTTGTGTCTTCTTGTGGTCAACCTGAGTAATAAGCGATCAGGAAGTGAGAAAATAGTCGATGTAAACCGTTCTTTTCAAGTAAATTCTGTCTGCATTGTAGCTTGCGAGGTTAAGTTTTGATTCATTCAATGCGTGGTTTTGGTAATTGATGTTATCTTTTGTTTTCTTTTTTAAATCGTGTATTTATTGTTTTGTAGGATTATAGAATGTGCAAGTGATTGCATAACACGGAGGATTCCCACATTGACCAGTTATTGGTCTTTCGTGGTTAATGCGGACTTTGTTTGAGAAGACACTATCATATTATATCGTCCGTTTTAGTAGGGGCTGATGAGCTCGTATAGTTTCTCAAAACATTACAGCAGAAGAAGTAAAAAGCAGACACTGAGCAACTCTAATGATGAAAGTGCAGCTCGGACTAGGCCTCTCAGCTTTGAAGATATTATGCTTAGAAGGAAGAATAAAGGGTCAGCTGATACTGTTGAGGTCGGTGTCACAGGTAGCCATTCAAGGAGGGAAAGCATAGATAAGCTCAGCACCGATAATTGTGCATCTGAAAGGCATTTTCGTCACGGTAAAGGTGCTTCTCTTGATGTGCAAAATCTTTCATTGGAGGAATCGGGCAAGGATAGTTCAAGACGGAAAAAAGAGGAGACATTGTTGAAGGACAATATGGAGGTTAGAAGTGATCGAAATAATTATGATTCTGAATTGACACTGATGGGTAAGCTGAAATACGATGCAAATGGAAATGATAAAAAACAGAAGTATGGCCAGGAAAATGTTGGTCGGGGAAAAAAGAACCAGAGTTCAAGGGTTGATATTGAAAAGGAAACTGGAAAGAGGCATTCAAGAGATAGCAAGGCTAAACGTGAAGATCTCGGTAGGGGGAACTTTGAAAGAGGTGGTAAGAGAAAAGATCAAAATGGTGACGATGAAGGGAATAGAGACAAGTATGCTGCAAAGAGACATGATCATGGTAAACACCATGACCCAGAAAATAGAGAAAGAAAGGAAGCTAAAGCATCGTTGACTTCAAATTATGAAGATTCAAGATTGCAAAGAAGACGGAAAAGAAGCCAAGATCGTGAAAGTAAACATAGAAGATCTGTGTCACTTTCTCCAAGGCCACACAAGCACTCGTCTAAGTTAGTGAGGCAGAAGGAGTTGCCATTAGATTCTCATGTAAAGAAGTCTGGAAGATGGCGTTCTGATAGTGATAGAACAGGGGATTTGACCAACAGTTCCAATAGCCAATACAGGCGACATTTTGGGTCAACTAGTGGGCTGGGTGGCTATTCACCTAGAAAGAGAAGAACTGAGTCTGCTATCAAGACTCCTTCACCGGTTCAATCACCAGAGAAGAAAGATGAAGGGTTGGATGTTCCTCCAACAGAAAAAATTGGATTATTTTCTAGTTCAATTAATTCCAACTTTCAGCCGTCAAATGCTACAGTTTCCTCGGGCATTATTAATGTTCAATCTGGTGGTGCAATCTTTTCTTCAGTTATAGGGAAATCTTTAACAGGGGTCTCTTCAAATAATATAGAAATGAAGACAAATGTTTCTCTTGATTTGATTCAGCTGACCCAAGCTACCCGGCCAATGAGGAGGCTTTATATTGAAAACTTACCACATTCTGCATCTGAGAAAGCAATCATTGATTGCCTGAATGGTTTTCTTACATCTTCAGGCGTTAATCACATCAAAGGAACACTGCCATGTATTAGTTGTATTGTAAGTGCTTTATTCTATGTTCTAAATGCGTGTCGCTATTTTCTTATGATGCTGTTTGATGAGAGTTTTGGTGCATACCACCACTTGTGCAGATACACAAAGACAGGGGGCAAGCTCTTGTCGAATTTCTAACTCCTGAAGATGCTTCAGCAGCTCTTTCGTTTGACGGAAGTGACTTCTCTGGCTCCATTCTAAAGATTCGGCGCCCAAAAGATTATGTTGAGATTGTTGTAAGAATAAATATCCAGAATTCTTGACCGTCTCCATTCTCATGATACCCTCAAGATATATTACAATTTGCATTTGTTGAATTAATAATTCCATTGATTGGATGAGTAGTATAGTAGTAAGGCAAACCTAAAATTGTTAAACCATGATTTCCTAGGTGTAAATACCCTGCATGACTATCTTCTAATTGCTGGGACCTTTGTTTGTTTCCCATGACTAAATTTTTATTTTCTTGAAGTTTGATATGCTTTTGTCTTGAATTCTTTGATTCTTTTGTTACAAAAGTATGTTGTGCCAGTAAATGAGGATTTAGATGAAGTTGTCATACATTTTCTTTTTCTGGGATTGGGGAGGTAATCTGTGGCACTTTTTTCCTGCCTGCTCTCTAGAATGTTTGGTTAGAAAAATACTGGAGAATCTCCCTTTAAGTAAGTTCTGCGTCATGTGGATACGTGTTTTAGTTTAGTAGTGTGCAAAATGTGGATGCTAGGATGGCTTGTAGCGTTGGAGAATGGCATATGTTATATTTAGGCATGCGACTTGGGGATGATCCTATTGAAAACATTTTTTGAATGCAGTGATGGGAAGTATAGATAAGGATGAGTAAGTGGGAAATGTGGTTTTTAAGATTTGATTATGTTTATGCTAGTTCTTGGGGGTAGTATTTGCGCACATGAAGGATAGTCAGGATAGAATTCCTTTTATTTAATGAAGCCCTCTGTTCAAGGGATGTTTGCAAGTGGATGAGATCGGCTTAGATATCTTAGTTGAAGATGGGATTACAAGTACTTATGAATTGGGGGAGACTCAAGTTGTGGAGTGGTGGAGTTGACCAACGGTGTAGAGGAATTTCCCTGAATCTTGAGAATGAGAATGTAGGGATTGTTGTTTATTGTTGGGGTATTACTGTTAAAATAACTCATCAAGTGCATGGATCAATTCTGGATTTTCCTACAAAAAAAAAAAAAAAAGGTTATGCTCGGGCATGTTGTTAACACAATGGGAGGACCTATTATTTAAGGAAGGCTCTAAATGATTACGAGCGAAGATGTTGTAGTGAACTCCCTCACAATTTTTTAAGGTGCACGAGCCTATAAAAAAATAAGGTTAAAACTTAAAAGTGGTGGATAGTCAGGCTCCTCTAGGGCTAATAAGAGTTTAAAATTAAGATAGACAATGTAACGCCCCAGATCCATCGCTAGCAGATATTGTCCTCTTTGGGCTTTCCCTTTCGGGCTTCCCCTCAAGGCTTTAAAACGCGTCTGCTAGGGGATGGTTTCCACACCCTTATAAATGGTGATTTGTTCTCCTCCCCAACCAACGTGGGACATCACAATCCATCCCCCTTCGGGGCCCAGCGTCCTCGTTGGCACTCTTTCCTTCCTCCCATCGATGTGGGACCGCTCTCAAAACCACCCCCCTTTGGAGCCCAGTGTCCTTACTGGCACACCGCCTCGTGTCTACCTCCTCTTCGGGGAAGAGCGAGAAGGCTAACACATAGTTCGGTGTCTGGCTTTGATACCATTTGTAACGCTTTAGATCCACCGCTAGCAGATATTGTCCTCTTTGGGCTTTCCCTTTCGGGCTTCCCCTCAAGGCTTTAAAACGCATCTGCTAGGGGAAGGTTTCCACACCCTTATAAATGGTGGTTTGTTCTCCTCCCCAACCAATGTGGGACATCACAATCCACCCCCCTTCAGGGCCCAGCGTCCTCGTTGGCACTCTTTCCTTCCTCCCATCGATGTGGGACCGCTCCCAAATCCACCCCCCTTTAGGGCCCAGTGTCCTTACTGGCACACCGCCTCGTGTCTACCCCCTCTTCGGGAAAGAGCGAGAAGGCTAACACATAGTCCGGTGTCTGGCTCTGATACCATTTGTAACGTCCTAGATCCACCGCAAGCAGATATTGTCCTCTTTGGGCTTTCTCTTTTGGGCTTCCCCTCAAAGCTTTAAAACGCATCTGCTAGGGGAAGGTTTCCACACCCTTATAATAAATGGTGGTTTGTTCTCCTCTCCAACCAACGTGGGACATCACAATTGGAAGAAAATCTCTTGCTACTGATACCATATTAAACCAGAAACATATAGCTCAAGGGTTGGTCTTGTGAGTGGTAAATGATATCTTGTTATGTAGTCACTTGACAAATATGCCTAACTATGGAATTATTAATTCAAATTCAATTTTTTTCATGCGACAAGGAGGTGTACTTATCCATATTTTTGTCTAGCATGTCTACATTTTAAATTAAGGGATTCAAGAGCAGGATTTGAGGTTATCACTCCGTACCTTTTTGCCCCTAGTCAAACCTCCTTTTCTTTTTCCTTTTCTCGCAACAAATTATTAGCTCAGGTTTATAAAATTATTTCATGTTTTCTTTAGCTTATATAGAATCTGTTTCTTCATCCATGTTATTTCAGTTTCTGAGGTCTATTGTGGTTACTATCATGTAGCAGGTTTTCAGACAGTTACTATTTTCATGCAGACTGGTGGCCTGGACAAGTCAGTGGCCGTGGTAAATAAAATCATTGATACTGTCGAGGACTCACCAAATAAGGTATGCATTTAAGTTTTTAACACTGAGCAGCAGCATGTTACTTTTTGCTTATGATGAGGAGTGAAGTCTCCAGTTGTTTACTTATTATTATTATTTATTTTTGGTGAGGGGTGGAAAGAGAACAAAAAGGTAAATGAGGTAAGAAATGTCTTTATCTTTCCCCACTTATGCAACTCTTAGTTACCTATCACCTTTTTTTTGGGATAAAAGTTACCTTTCACCATGTTGGACCAAGAAACTCTGGCTCTTCATAAAATGATCATGTAAAATTTGAACAAGAAAATCACTGAAGATGGCTGGCTGAAGAAGAAAAATGCCGAAATCATCCTTCAGGACCAGCTTGTTAATTAATGTTAATTAGCTTTCGTTTTCAAGTAATTGTAACCATGGAGGTTTCTAATCCTTAGCTGCACCAAACACAACCCAACTAAGGAGGTTGCTTACCATGATGGGCCTTCCCATTACCTTATGGACCGAACCTTTGGACCTACAAGGAAAATAGAGTGATCAATTCTCATTTATTACATCACTACTTCAGCACATTTTTCTTTAAACCATTTTCAAATGCATTCGTTGGTAATTCCAAGTATTACCAATGCCTAGATCCATTAAAGAAAATTTTTTCCCAGAATGACTGCCCCTTCCTAGTTCCTACTCCCAAATGAAGTTTCTGAATGGCATCTCCTTTTTCCACCTTCATAGGGACCCTGAATGAAGAAAAGTATTTATTCCATTTTGAAATTTTATTTTGAACTCTTTCCATAAACTGGTCCAAATAGTTGAGGCTTAGGATTTCTCTGAGGTTGAGTATAAAAAGTATTTGATAGTAACTTTCTTGTTTTCATTTTCATTTCATTTTTTTTTTTTCTCTTCTCAGGTTGAGTAAAGCTATTAGAATTCTAGTGTTTTAGCATCATTTGAATATTTACTATTTTGCTGTCTATAGTCTGAATGGTACTCCCTGGTTTATTTAATATACAACTTTTCTGACATATAGAGGGGGCAATGGGTTGTTTTGATATATTTTGCACCACACATCATCATTAGAGCACTGGATTTGTCTATATCACTGTATTTGACAAACTAAAATTACTCGTGTCCTATTAAGCTATTCTTGTCTAAACTTGAATAAGTTTATCGAGTTATTACTACTCTTAGTGACCTTATTTTTCTGCTTTGACTATGTTGAACTTTGTTGCAGATTTTCATTGCTGGGATCTCAAATAGAATATCATCTGAAATGGTAATTTGAGGAAATAGTATTTTCACCTTGTAAATGATCATACCTTGTATATGATCTTTACCTTTCACTACTGTTTTCACTTTGTAATATACATTCGGGGATTGTTTCTTTGTTGTTGTTCTCCAGCTTAGAGATATTGTTACTGCATTTGGACCTTTGAAGGCCTTTCACTTTGAGATGAACGATGATCTTAATGAACGTTGTGCCTTTTTGGAGGTAAATTTTCATGTCTTACGTGCTTTACTTCACCATGCTCGTCTCAAGTGCTATTTCATTATTTGTAATGATTTGGGAAGGATCTATATTGTTGGGAAGCATCATGTTTACACGAACACTTCCAGTCAGAAAATGATACTCCATAATAATTCTTCAAATACTACATTGGAAGCATGTGATATCCTCTAGTATTTTGTTTCTGTACATTAACTTTTTAAGTTCTAGATGTTGTCTCTTTTTGATAAATGCTTCGGACTCAATATTCCTTTTATTATTATTATTTACGATGTATTAATGATATATGTCAATATGGTTACAATTTAAATTGTTCATGAAAGAGTTCAAATCACCTTGTATTTATAGTTTTACTTTGTAAAATTAAAAAATGTAAAGGAAATTGTCTGCACCAGTTCATGACATTTTAAGTGATTCATTTTATTTGACCAATCATTGATATTCACATTATTCTTTATCATCTCTGTCAAGTCTTAGACCTAGAAAACATGTTATCGTTTTACATCATATGCTTAAAGGAAGCTTGAGTAGATAGCACATATAGGATAATAATATCCTTGCATTATTTTTTTGGTAGTATATGCAATCCCTTAAGACTTGATTTAGTGATTTTTCCTTAATGCTTCTTGATCACAGTCTTAGTCCGGGAGTTGGTGACTTCAGTTAGTAGTGTTCTGTCATCCTCCTCAAGAGGGGCAAATATGGGTTGCTTCTTATTACAGTGAAAGATTCAACGTTCAAAGTTTTACTGATTAATGGGCGCTTTAAAATCTTTTGGTTTCTAACCAATGCACATAGAATGCTATTTTCTCTAGGAATCAGCAGACCAATGCAAAGCTGAAGGTAAAAATGCAATGAAGTGTGCTATTTGTCTTTGAACTTGCTTATAACCGCCATAAGTGAGACTCCAGCTATTGTAATACCCAAACATGGGTTTCTTAATAGGTTCAGTTTGCTTTCTGGTGGAAATATTGCAGGATAGATTATTGACTTTGGGATTTCTTGTTGACATTTGGTTTTAGACTTTCACATATGAATATATGCCTTGGTTCTGATGGATGGACCTTTTGCCACTATAAACTGCTATGTTCCGGACATGTTGTATGATCTTTTTAGTGTGTTTACCTTTATGTACTCGCAGCTCTGTTTTATATCAACATGCTCTAGAACTCTCATTTGTGGACGTATGTTAGGTAATTGTATATTCACCAATGACAAAATACTCAAATGACTCTTCTCAGCTATTTAACTAGGCGAAACTGTTCGCACAATATTCAGAGTGAATGCATGATGAAGTTTCATATTTCTTCGTACCTTTTAGGCAGCAACATCTGTGTTAAAGCTATTCACGATGTTCATGTATTGTATTGTTGCCACTGTAGCCGTGGTCCATGGCAATCCTTGATCATTAAATCAAGACTTGTTGTTTGCTGGTTAACAAGCATGGTATCAATTAAATTATTAAGTTCTTTTACTTTTGAATAGGTAATAGCACTTCTTATTTGCACGTAGAAATGCTGGCCTGTTTTTATCTCGAATTTTCGTGATGCTTAATTTATATGTCATTTCCTAGCCAAAAAGAAAGCATGAATAAGTAAAGCCCTCGTGCTTCAATATCATTCCCTCCGTTTAACTTTTGTATTATATGCCATTTATTTGATCAATCTTCTTTTCCCTGACCACAATTCCACTTAATTTAATTATCAGTATGTCGACCAATCAATTGTCTCCAAAGCTTGTGCTGGTCTAAATGGTATGAAGATTGGAGGGGAAGTACTAAAAGTGTTTCCAGCTGTTCCATTTACATCATTGGTATTAATGCTATTATCCTTGTTTTCCTAATTTTATTTTGAAATTTTTATTTTTTATTTCATATACTGGTTTGGCCCTTGCTTATCAAGTAACATTTGTCAGGAACGTAATGAATGTCAACCATGGTATGGGATCCCAGAGCATGTGAAACCTCTTCTTCAACAGCCAACAGTAGTGTTAAAAGTTAATAATGTGGTACGTTAATTTTTTTTTTGCTTACTCCTGAAACCACTCACCTCCCCCACCCAACAGAAAATGAAAACATAGGCACACACATATACAGTCACTATGCAGTTTAATGGTCAAAGTGGTTATTTACAATCTTCCGATGAGGCATTTTCTTTTTGGAACCAGTTTAATGCAGATGTCCTCCCAGTACTCTCTGAGGCAGATATTGATGAAGTTCTTGAAGATATTCGGGTTGAATGTGCTAGGTCCTGAGAATTACTATTAGTGTTACTAATTATGTTACTAATCGTGTTATCTTTCCTTTAATGTGATTGTTGTCAAATAATCCATGCAATTTTGTAGGTTTGGGACAGTTAAATCCATGAACTTTGTAAAGCCATGTAATGGCTGTTTCAGTGCTGAAGAAGATTACAAGAACATTAGTGATATCACTGATGTGGAGATCAAGCATGAGATTCAGGAAAACTGCACAATGGCGATTTCAAGAAATGGTAATGATGTCGAAGATAATAACGTTAACCTTGACAATTGCCCCAATGATACCAATCAGAGGCAGGGTAATTGCCCTGGCAATGGTAGACATCAAGACGAAGTTGAGGTCAAATTGTGTCGAATGGGTCAAGATGATGCTACACGTTTTGAAATTGTAGCTTGTGAGAATGCTTCGGAAAGAATCCCTCGCGGACTCTCTGAACAGCAGAGCAGCCCAGGAAATCAACATCAGGATGCAAAAGTAGCTGAAACAATCGAAACCAATGAAATTAGCCCGGATAAGAAATCAGTGTGTATAGATGATTCAGCTATGGTGAGAACAGATTTCGACACGTCTGAGAAGAGCGAGAAGGACGATCCTAGAAATAATCTGGCAAGTTTATTTGTGTTGGGGAGCGTTTTTGTCGAGTTTGGTAGAACGGAAGCCTCGTGTATGGCAGCACACTCTTTACATGGAAGGATTTATGATGGACAAGAGATTAGCATTGAGTACATTCCCCATGATCTCTATCGAAAGAGGTTTCCTAAATGATAAGTTAAATACTGAATGTGGTGATTTATCTAGTCGATGAGGTCCTTCGCCATGAAAGGTCCACTTATTGGCAGAATTCATTACTGAAGAAGGCATTTGTTGATGGCTCATTTTAGGTCAGCCTCAATCAACTTTTTTTATCATTTAGCTCGACAAGTCATTTCTCGAGCACCGCATCGATGATATACTGAAATGAAAGCCTAGGAGAGTATAACACTCCCCATAGCTTGGAGGAAGCCTTATAACTAAGCCCTTGTACATTTCTGATAGATTTTCTCTATATGCTTAACAGGTGCAAGGAACTAGGTTATGGTCGTGAAAGATTTACGGGTTCTTTTACTGCCGAGCTCTCGACATTCTCTCGAGTCTGACCTTTGTTGTTGACGATCTCTCCTTCGTTGTTGAATTAGGTACTTTATTACAAGAGATCATGATCCTTCATCTCTGTTTTGTTTACCTTATATAGTAATACAGTACGTAATGGAGTGGGCCACCCCATAAAGTTCATAAATGATAAGACATTTTTAGTAGTAATCTTCTTTTTTTGCATGTTTTTAAGCTAGATTTATAAGTTTGGTGCAAGGTTCTTATACCATTTGGATGCAACTTTGTTAAGAAGCTGATCATGGGGAACTAAGATTTTGTTCTTTATATGCAGCTTGGTTTTTTGTTCTCGCATAGCACATTAAGGCGTATAGTCTTCTCGAACTTTAACCATAGGATCATACGTCACAAGCAAAATACAAGAACTCGTGGTTTCTTAAATATGAAGGTATTAATTACCATTTTAAAATTAGATGGTTTAATTTTTTTTTTTTGTTCGGTTGTTAGACTAAAAATTGCGATATAATCTTCGATACGAGCATTATAGAAATATGAGGGTTGTGAATTTCGTGAATATTAAGTCGGTCTAATGATTCATGAATTTCTTTTGGTCATATAATGCGAGTGTGGATTAACATAATTTGTATTCGATGAAGAGAAGAAATAGAATAACATAACAATATTGATGATAAATATTGACGTAATCTAATGCATGAAAGCAATTTCGTAGTGCATATTATATTATATGATATGATATATGATGTAAGTAAAAAGCTTAGTGGTGTCCAATTCCTCCGCCACCACCTCCACCAAAGCCAGAGCCACCGCCGAAGCCCCCTCCGACTCCGCCTCCGCCGCCGCCACCGAACCCACCTCCAAATCCACCACCTGAGCCACCTCCAAAACCTCCGCCTTTTCCAAAGCCACCACCAAAACCTCCGCCCTTTCCAAAGCCACCACCAAAACCTCCTCCTCCTCCTCCTCCTCCTCCACCTCCACCTCCACCACCAAGTCCTCCACCACTCCCTATGCCACCACCAAGTCCACCGCCTTTACCAAACCCGCCTCCTACTCCACCACCAAGGCCTCCACCAGCACCACCTCCTACTCCACCACCTAGGCCTCCACCCTTTTCATTGCCACCGCCAAGTCCACCACCCTTGCCAAACCCTCCACCGGCACCACTACCTAAGCCTCCACCCTTCCCAATGCCACCGCCCAGTCCACCACCCTTGCCAAACCCTCCACCGGCACCACCTCCTAAGCCTCCTCCTTTACCTATTCCACCGCCCAGTCCACCACCCTTGCCAAACCCTCCACCGGCACCACCTCCTAAGCCTCCTCCCTTACCAATTCCACCGCCCAGTCCACCACCCTTACCATACCCTCCACCGGCACCACCACCTAAGCCTCCTCCCTTACCAATTCCACCGCCAAGTCCACCACCTTTACCGATCCCTCCCCCAACACCGCCTCCTACACCACCACCAAGGCCTCCTCCCTTACCGAATCCTCCACCCTTCCCAATGCCACCACCAAGTCCTCCACCTTTGCCAATGCCACCACCCTTACCGTACCCTCCTCCAGCACCACCTCCTACTCCACCACCAAGTCCTCCACCTTTGCCAATGCCACCACCAAGCCCTCCTCCCTTACCGTATCCACCACCTAGGCCTCCACCCTTGCCAATGCCACCGCCTAGTCCACCACCAGCACCACCACCTAGGCCTCCACCCTTACCAATGCCACCGCCTAGTCCACCACCTTTACCAAACCCGCCACCAGCACCACCACCTAGTCCGCCACCCTTGCCAAAGCCAGCGCCTCCTCCTACGCCACCTCCAGCTCCACCCCCAATTCCACTTCCACCTCCAAAACCACCGCCGCCACCTCCTCCTCCAAATCCGCCTCCAAATCCACTTCCACCACCAAACCCAACCCCTAATCCACCACTCTTGCCAAAGAACAGAAACTTCTCTTCCTCCCCATTAGTAACATCCTTGGCAACCACACTGAACACAAGAACATAAAAGCAGAACAAGGATAAGAGAGCCACTCTGTTGCAGCCAGTCGCCATGATTGTGGAGGGCAACAAACTAAATAAGCCAATGGATGAAGAGCTTTAGGCACACCCACAGGTATTTATATGCCCCCATCAAACACCTTTTGGCTTGGCATTAATTTGAACTCAACTACTAACAGTTCGCTTTTTTGTTCGAAACTCTGAGCTCCCACTTCCCCATCACTACTTTTTCTGCCTTTTCCCATAACCAGAAATGTGAGAGAGCCATTTTGTAGCTGTCATGCACGTTATGGTCACACCACCATTCAATTCTTTGGGTCCTTCTAAACTAACAACCAAATACAAACCCTCTTAATTCCTCACAAACCTCCTCTACATACATTCATTCATTAGGGAACCACTTCTTGCTGCTCCTCAAAAAATCACTTCAAATTACACCCAAATTAACCCAACCCATTTCAGAATTAGATATTCATGTCCAATGTTGTATCAATGATATTCATATTCCCCGTCCTTATTTTATGCCCCACGCTCAAGACGAGGAAGCCTTCCCCGTCCTTATTTTATCCCCCACGCTCAAGACGAGGAAGCCTTCCCCGTCCTTATTTCACGCCCCATGCTCACATCCTCCATTAATTTTTTGATGAGAATATAATTCATCCCGACCCCAGTTCCATTTAACTAATCAGAAAAAATGTGAAATCCCACGTCGGTTAGGAGAAGAATGAAACATTCTTATCTAACATGAGAGCAAATACGAAAGAGAAGATAATATCTACTAGCAATGGTTTGGACTGCTACGAAAAAAAAATCTCTTCCCTCTCTCCCTTTTTTTATTTAAAGAGGGATTCGACGCCCCATTCATGGCGAATTAAAACGCTCTCCATAAATCTCACAAATCACAAAGTGATTATAAGCTTCGAGAAAGTGACGCATATTAATTAGAGCGTGGAGGTTGCAATATCTTATCTTGACATTATGCAAACTAAGGATAGGGAGAGTGAAGGAACAATTTTGTTATGAAAAAAAAATAATAATAATAAAGAAACATAATTATTTTGTTTTTAGTGATTAATTATTGGAATTATTTGTGTATTAGTGTGTTTTTGATGCTTTTAGGATACCCACCGACAAATCAGCCCCCAAACAAAAAGCTAAAACAGATCACTTTCCTATTATTTCAATGGAGAGTAAATGAATAATTAATTATTTCTTTTTTATTTTTTTTAATATTTTTAAATATTTTTTAATAAACCATATTAATTACCACAACAAAATAATAATAAAACTGAGATAGTCTCCTATTTATTTATTAAAATATAATTTTTTTATTTGTTTATTTTAAGGATATTTTTATGGCTTATCCACCAATGTTTGTGGCACATATTAATTAGAGAAATAAAGAAAATAAAATATAGCTCAATTTTTCATTTATTATTATTTTTATTATTTTATCAAATATATTACTGTTTAAACTTATGAAGTAATTAATTGAATTATATAAGAAATATTATATGGTCTGTAATTAAAAAAAAAGAAGAGAAATAATATATATATATATATATATATATTATTTAATATATTATAAAAGTTAAAAAAATATTTATAAATCATATAAAAAATAAGAGCTATAATTGCGAAGAAATGTTGTTTGAAATTTTATTCGTACAAACTTATTATAATATTTGTTATTAAATTTAATTATTGCATAATATTTTTTGAAAAATTAGGCATATGTATGAACATATTATAAATAGGAATTATAGCCATATTTGTGAATATAATACCATGTGTGACACCAAGTTTGTTAAATGTCTAATTTATTCCCTATGGTATAAGACTAGTAATAATTTTGGTCACCTTGCCATTGTCATATTTACTTTTTTTAACGTGCTAATAAATTAATATTTTTTATTTACCTAATTAGTTAATTACGGTAGGGTAAAAGGAATAGAACGTGACAAATAACAGGTTTTTTCAAGTGGCTATTAAATAAGAGGATAGAAAAGATTTGTGAGGCTTAATCAAGCTATAAGGACTAAATTGAAACTTGTAATATTATAAAAACGACGTATCAGGGAGTAAATTGAAAATTCTAAAACTAAAGGGGTCAAATTGAAATTATATTGGAAGGGATGGGTATAAAAGAAATAGATGTGACAAACAATAGGGTTTTTCGGGCGAGTATTAAATAAGAGTAAAGGAAAGATTCGTGAGGCTTAATCAAACTATAAGGACTAAATTGAAAATTGTGATACTATAAAAACGACTCATTAGGGAGTAAATTGAAAATCCTAAAACTAAAGGGGCCAAATCGAAATTATATTGGAGCGGATGGGTATAAAAGAAATAGATGTGACAAACAACAGGTTTTTTCGGGCGGGTATTAAATAAGAGTATAGAAAAGATTTGTGAAGCTTAATCAAACTATAAAGACTAAATTGAAATTTGTAATACTATAAAAACGACCCATTAGGGAGAAAATTGAAAATTCTAAAACTAAAAGGACCAAATTGAAATTATATGGGAAGGGATGGGCATAAAAGAAACAAATGTGACAAACAGCAGGTTTTTTCGGGCGGGTATTAAATAAGAGTACAGGAAAGATTTGTGAAGCTTAATCAAACTATAAGGACTAAATTGCAATTTGTGATAGTATAAAAACGACCCATTAGGGAGTAAATTGAAAATTCTAAAACTAAAGGGACCAAATTGAAAATATATTAGAAGGGATGGGTATAAAAGAAAAAGATGTGACAAATGCTGGTTTTTTCGAGCGATTTGTGAGGCTTAATCAAACTATAAGGACTAAATTGCAATTTGTGATACTATAAAAACAATCCATTAGGGAGTAAATTGAAAATTCTAAAACTAAAGGGACCAAACTGAAATTATATTGGAAGAGATGGGTATAAAAGAAATAGATGTGACAAACAGCAGGTTTTTTCGGGCGGGTATTAAAGAAGAGTAGAGGAAAGATTTGTGAAGCTTAACCAAACTACAAGGACTAAATTGCAATTTGTGATAGTATAAAAACGACCCATTAGGGAGTAAATTGAAAATTGTAAAACTCGAGGGACCAAATTGAAATTATATCGGAAATGGGTGGATTTGATGGTTCCCATGTGATTTGGTAGCTGAAAAAATTGAATGCCATGTTGGGAAGTTGTGTTCTTTTTCTTTGATTGTAGCATTCAATTTTTGTCCAAATCTAAACACATTATGAAGCTTCTTAGCTGTTCCTTT